AAAGCTATAAAAAAAACTGGTAGATCTGATAATTAAATTCAGCAGGGTCTCAAGATGCAGCATCACTATATAAAATCCCATGTATTCTCATATGCTTACAAAAAACAAATAGAAAAGGACATTTCTGCATGCATGTGGTGCACTCACACACGCAGGCATAATACTCATACACATAACATAAACAAAAATAAATATAAAAAACATAAAAAGAAAAGATTTTAAAATTTCCATTTATAAAGTTCCAAAGATGATAAAGCTCTTATGAATAAACTCAACATGAAATATGCAGTTCTGTTCATTGAAAAATAAAGGCATTACTAAGAGAAAATAAGGACCTAAATAAGTGGATCGACCATTTCATGGCTTGAGAGACAATATTGAAGATACAAAGCCTCCTAAAATGCATAAGGCCACTGCTGTATCAATCAATGAAAAGAATTATGAGGCCCAGTGTGATGCCCCAGTGGGTGAGAGGACTTGCTGCCAAGCCTGTCACCTGAGTTTGAGTCCTGAAATTTATATGAGTGGCAGGACAGAACTGACTCCTGCAAGTTCTCTGACCTCCACATGTGTGCTATCATAGATGCATGCACTCGCTCTTGTAGGCACAAACAGACACACACAATAACTAAATAAATAATAAATAAATAAGGTAAATAAATGTAAAGACATTTTTTAAACTTATGAGACAATCCTAAAATTTAACTAGAAATATAAAAAGATTGAAATAGCCAAAACAATCAACAACAAAGCAGAAGGGTTTCATGAACTGAATTTAAGATCTGCTATAAGGTTGGTTGATCATCAGGACACCATAATATTGATATAAGGAGAAACAGATAGATCAATGCAATAGAATACATTTAAATTTCAATAAAAGGAGCCAGGACCATGCCTACTGATACCAGTCATATGGATTCTTAAAGATAATAGTAATTTAGAAATCCATACCTTCTAATGTATATAAATTTAACCCACCTCTAATAGAAAGTATATGAGAATACCGAACAGGCAGGGAAGAACTGTAACCAGTAACTCTAAGAATGTTTGATACAGCTTATTGAGAGCTTTAAAAGCTGCCTTTATTTTCATCCTTTCTCTGTTTCTGTCCTCACATGTCACGCCATGAGAACATTTGGAAGCCCTATGCTTTTACGAAATTAGCAGCATGAGTTTACATGCTTGTTGTTAGACTGGCTGGTTTGCATGAAGATGATCTCTACTATGACGAGAAACATTTATTGAGTCATTCCAGTACACATGGTACGTCACCTGTGAGAGGCAATGGACCAGCGTGTTAAGTTTGCAGATGATTTCATTTGTGGCAGTCAGTACTGCAAAATCTTTAGCCTAGCACTTCATAAAAGAACAAATAAACAAAATAAATATGTCCCAGAGTGCACCTTGCAGTTCGCTTTATATCAGTAATTCTTTTAAGGCTTGATCCTCTAGTCAGCATCAATTTCACATATAGAGCCTACCTTTCTTCAGTGGAGTCTGACTCCCTCCTGCAGAAGTGGAAGTAAATAATGACATCAGAGTTCAGTCAGAGCTGATATAGCCACCTTGTATGAAAGAAGTCTTTTGATTTTAATTATAATAAAAATTTAACGTGGCCTTTTTCCCTTGCAACTGGTTTTGAAATTGAATTTTGGAAACATCTTCCATAATGTAGAATGTATATATTATATGTAGGTGTATTTCATATTTTACTATATTATATACATTATCACATACTTTATTAATATTTAATGCATCATGTAGTGGGCTATATTATATGATTCTGTCAATCTACAAATCACCTAGATATCATTTTATTTTTTGTGAATGGGCCAACAGAGCAATCTGTCCTCTGAGCGTCTTGGTAGTCACCTGATGAGAGACAGCCTTTCTAGTACTTGTCAATCATCAGCATTGATGATAACTGACAAGTACATGGTATACTACATGCGATCACAGAAGTGATGTTCTATCTCCTTAATAGCTATCAAGATTGCATTCTTGGGCATGAACTCCGCTCGAAGACTGAGGAAACCAGCATACAGTCTCTTTTCCATCTATCTGAAACATTTTAGGGGAGGCCAGTTGTGTCCTTAAGGCCATTTGGATTAAGATTACACTTAATCTGTGCAAATAGCTGGGGAACTGAGTCATTTTACCTTTAGGTTATTAGAATGATTTTATCTGCTGCTTTTAAGATACCTCATAAAGACTAATGTCATACCTAAAGCCATGTGTGTTCAAGGGTCAGGTCGCTGAGTGGGAATGGAAAGTTGAGTTCGGCAGTGGGTGCTTTCTTTTGCCATGGCTTGTTCTGTTGCTGGTTCTGTGACTGAAGTCAGTGAGGCAGGTTTTGTAGTGCTGAGTAGAGGCCATGGTAACATCCTTCTATGATGGGTATGGCAGATTCTCAGCATCCCAGCTATAAGCAACTGCCAATGACTAGTTATTACATGGTGATTATCTCTTTGTAAATAAATATAAAAATAGGCAGCATTGCTTCTGAGTAGTTCATTATATATAATAATGCTTTCACAGCATTACTAATACCAGTTCAGTAATGAATCTTACTAAATGAATTTATTACCTGATTCTTATTTCCTGAGGTATTTTCTTTTTTATGCAGTCTGATTTTCTCATGATTCATTGTCCGTAGACAGAGTTATTCTTACAGTTTCATTTAACCTTCCTTGGTTTTCCTTTTTACCCTTCTTTTTAAGTTTTTGCTCTTTTCAGCATCTTTGCATGTTCTGGTTTGGAGCTTCCTTTTGAGGCACGATCCTCTAATGCCACCTAGGGGCACCTGTCGGTTGGGATCCATGTGTTTTCAGGGAGGCCTGAATGGTTTAGCTTTCCTAAAGTTCCCAACTTGTTCTAAGAGCAGACAACATTTTACACAATGGAGGTAAAATTTTTGAAAGCTATGGGCTTCGTTTACTGTTTAAAACACTACTTTTAACTAATCCTCACATGAGGCTTACTGTTCTCCACGTTAGAAGGCCGTTAGGTTATGTTAGCCGTTTCTTTTCCTAAGTAGCCTGAGTTAGAGTTCCCACCATCACCACCAGTATCCATAGTCTCCTCACTTGCTTCTAATAAACAGGGAAACTTAAACTAGGATGGTGAAATAACTTGCCACTCAGAGCTGGAGGCCAACCTCAACCGTGTGACTTGAAACTACCTATACAACTATGTCCTTCTAGTGAGTCTCTTCTTCTTCTCTGGTCTCTGAATCCCTGAGAGTCACTTCCTTTTTGATGGTTTTCTTTCAGCATTGTAGCTTCTGAGACAAAAAGATTGTTTTTCAAAGCTGGACTGGGTAGAACAGCAGTAAGGGAGGGACAGGGAGGCCAGGCTTTAAATGAGCTGTGAACCTGTTTTCTAATGTATTCATTGGAAATAGGAAACTTCAGCCTAAGTTTGTTATAAGACTTTGAAAGGTAGAAATAATGTGATGTACGAGCCTATCTGAAAACTCTGAATAACTAACACTATTTTGTAAAAATTGATTGGGAATCTGCATATAATATAATGTGGAAATCCTGATTGATACCTCCTGGACTCTCACGGAGAGTATTGATGTTGATGGTTTTGAGGTAATGCTTATGGTGATGATCGTTTGTGATAAAGGTGAGTATCTGAAAGCTTCTGAATTGATGTCTCTGACAGAGTGCTATTTGAAAGCACTAGAAGCCAGGGTATTGTTTGAAACGGTCTCAAATGGACTGTCTTAGAAAGACAGGCCTTTCCTTGAGCCCCTCTGGACTAGTCAGGTTTCCATCGCTGTAATAAACATCTGAGACAATCAACCTGTGAACAGAGAAGGTTTATTTTGGTTCACAGGTTCCCAGTCTCCATTGCTTTGGGTGAGGCAGCTCATAGTGGCCAAGGCATGTGGTCATGAACAACCCATCAGAAAAGAAACCCATGCCAGAGAGAGGAAGAAGAGAGTAGGGCTTCATAGTCCTTTGCAAGAGCATACCCTCAGTGAACCAAAGACCTCTTAAAGGGTCCACCAGCTCCCCGTAGTACCTAGTGGGGACCAAGCCTTTACTACTTAGGCCTTTCGGGTATGTTTATTCAAACAGGAGGATTTCCTCCTAATCTCTCTTTGAAATGGACCAAACCTGCAGCCCATTATGTGGAATCAGTATCTTAAAACCCACTGACTAAAGATAGAATCCTGACTAGTGTAAAACCAAGATAAATGAGTTTACTTATATACACATTTGTATGGGTTTATACATGCAAACATATTATATAGAGCACTTGAATCCTTTCTTTTTAAAAATTTGTTTTATTTTTATTTGTATATATGTATGTGTATGCACATATGGGTGCAGGTGCCTATGGAGGCCAGAAGAAGGCATCAGATCCCTTGGAGCTGAAGTTAGAGGTAGTTGTAAGCTACCCAAAGTGGGGGCTGGGAACTCAACTCTGCTTCTCTACAAGAGCAAGCACTCCTACCCATTAAGTCACTTGTTCAACTCCATTGAATCATTTCTTTAAGAGCTAGTATTCCTAATAGAATTATTTTAATTTTCCCTCTCTTGATTCCCGTGACTTATTTTTTAAAAAACCCACATTGCCCTATCTTAACTGATCTAGCTTGTCAATTTCTGTGAAGCTGGCGAAGCCATTGCTTACTGGATGCTTACATTCTTTATAGTTTATTGAGTGCCCTACTTGCAGCCATGAGGTTAAATCACAACTCAGTTTTCTTGTGGAGTAAACTGTCTCAGAGAGGTTAACTGACTTGCCCAGTGGAACACAGCTCTCTAAAGTGAAGTCCCTGTGAGGCAGGCCTGTCTGGTTTGCTGGCTACCTGGTTACTTTGAGTGTCTGTCCCTTCCTGTAACTTGTACATGAGTTCTTACCTGTGTCTAGCAGCTTGCCCCAGTGGTCTTCAAAATGTTAGTTTCCTCAAGCTTCCCCACTTCTATGTCTTTTCTGGTTCTCAGCTTTGGGTCTGTGACTTTGTGCTGCCTCCTCTTTTGCAGCTTTGGAGACATGCTGTCCTTCACCCTGACAGCCTTCGTGGAGCTAATGGACCATGGCATCGTGTCATGGGATACATTCTCAGTGGCATTCATTAAGAAGGTAATGTAGTCTCTGCTGCCCTAAGCACATCATTTCTTTTTTTTTTTTTTCAATGGAATATTTTGTTCTCTGCTTTGAGAATATTGTATAATTACTTCCTTTGGTTGCTTTTGTGGTATGATTTTTATGGTATTACATATGTGGAGAACAAGGCCTCTGAATGCTATGTGAAAATAACATTTTGTCTGCATGATGTCATCAATGATAGCATATGGCAGCCCAGAGCTACAGAGAAAGTGAAAGGCCCTGCTCTTAATAACTGCACAGGTGTCTGCTGAGCAGAGTTTCCTAAGACCTTCTTCACCAATCATTCCCCAAGAAGTCACATTCAGGGGCAGGGAAAGAGGCAAAGGACATTGATCCCCTACATTTCAAATTTCAATCAGAGATGAAGGAGGCAGATCTAGGCCCATGCATCTTGGGCAGAGGGCCCTCCTTAGTTGTAATCTTGGTGTAACAAATGCCGAAAACATCAGTCCACTCCATGGGTTCCTCCTTTGGAAGGAAGCTGGTAAAAGGAGAGGCCAGTGTGATCCTAGTGTGCAAAGAAAGAGAATTCACTGCAATTGGTGTGTAATAGGGACACATCCACAAATGTACAATTCTACTTCCATTCTAACAAAGAGTAAATTGTCTTGATCTTGTAATACTTGTATTTGTGAACTAAATTGATTGGCATTTTGCTTCCCCTACTGCTACGGGAAGAATAAAGAGATATAAAGGATTTCAAACATCAATTTTAAAGTTTTAAATACATTCCTGGGAAGGGTTATATAAAATCAAGAATTTCAATGAATTTTTGCAAAAACTGGAAAATCAAAGTAAAGTCCAGTAAGGGTCATCCAAAGTTCAAACCATGTGTTCTGATATAATGGTAGATTTAAGGAAAAGTTGTCCCAAATACTCTGGAACATTCCTGTATTCCCTTCCCTCAACTTCCCCTAATGCTGATATTATACACAATATTATACACAATTGTCAAAGCAAACATGTTATGTTAACATAGGTGCTGTAATAACTGATTTCTCTACAGATGGCTTTCTCTGGTTAAGTATGCAATCCAGGTTCCCACACAGAATTTGTCATTGTTCCTTAGTGTTTGCAAACTGGAATCATTCCTCAGTTTTTCTTTGTCACTCATGACTTTGGTATTTGTCTTAAGTACCAGTTACTAATTTTTGTAGGAAAGTCCCTGAAAAGAATGTGTCTGACACTTTCCCCAAGGTTTAATTAAGGAAGGTTATGCATTGGAGGGTGAATCCTACAGGAATGACTGTGTCCTCAGTGCGCCATCTTGGTGGGGAAGTGACACTGCCGTTGCTTCCTACTGGTAATGCTGTCTCTGATCATTTGTTTTGGGATGCTGCTTGCTGGGTGAAGTAATTCTAACCAAATGAAATGGGCTTGTATCTTGGTGCACGCAAAATCTGAACAGGCATAGCCAAGAAGTAAAGGAGAGGCGGAAAATCCATCACTTGCAGTAGGTAAACAGATCGTGGGAGTTATTTCCAAAGCACTGCCCTCTCTGAATAAAGAAGTGTGGAGATTTTATTTGAAGCATCTGTATAGTCATACAAGAAAGCATTCAGGGGTGCATGCATTCCTGAACATGTTTCAGCTCATAGTCAAGAAGGAAAAGTGGCGGACACGTTTTGGGCCTTACTTAGCTCAAGGTCATGGAGAACAGGTTCAAAAGATTAACACGGCGCCTTTGGGTGTTTTCGTTGCTTTATAGAAATGGCAGATAGAAGTGCCTCTGGGCGTGCTTAGTTTTCTCCAAATATTTTAGCTGAAACAAATTGAAAGGATATTTGGAGTGCGTTAATTTGGGACCTCCGTCCCTCCGCCCCTTGAAAGCACCTGGCCTGCTTAAGGACTTACCCTTGCTGGTTTTCAAGTTCAAGTTTATCTTGGGGAAGTGCTGTTTTTAATTAAAGGAGGAAGAGAGCCCCAGTCTCTGAATGCCGGCCTTAGACTGCTTGGCCATCCTGACGAGAGAGCCCCAGTCTCTGAATGCAGGCCTTAGACTGCTTGGCCATCCTGACGAGAGAGCCCCAGTCTCTGGAACAAGAATGCTGGCAATGGAAACTCCACAGGTCAAATATTTACAGAATGTTGCATATTTATTTAATGTAAGAGCTAATTGAACACCAAGGGCCTTCTTGACAGACTTCTAAATCTTTCCTATTTTAATTCCATGGCCCCCGAGGAGATAAGTGTGGGTAACTAAGAAAGAGGAAGCATACAAAAGGGAGCTTCTTTGGCAGTTGGATGGATTGCTAAAAAGATTCTAAGATATTATAGATGATAAAGCCAAAGAAATCTTGGGACTTACAAAGGACATCAGAGTGGTGGTGGCGGGATCTGTGAGCAGTGTGAGAACAGTGAATGGCTGTTTCTGGTTTTCTGTAAGTTCTAGAGAAACAAATCTAAACCTGAGGATACTGGGTTTTGTAACTTTATACTTAACCAAACTTTAATTTCTGAATTTATGGCAGGCCCTTCCTTCCTGATCGAGATGTCCTTGTTCTTTCATGTTAGAGTCCCTCTTGCCATACGATGTAACAATAGTGTCCTGAGTACAAATTCCTGGAACTATGGTGTGCTGCCCCTGACATTTAGCTCTGCAGGTTCACTGCAGTGAGCCATTCTCTCTAGAACAGGGCAGCTGTGCCTTGTTCCTCTTGGTGAGGATGTGAGGACAGTGGTTTGGATGTTGACAAGGCCATGGTGAGGGAGTATGTGCTTGATCTCATAGGCCAGGGTTCTTTCTCCTCAGCTGTCCCTGTGTGATCTCGAGGTTGCAGAACCTTCAGGAGCATCACCTATCTGGCACCGCCTCCTGTGCTCTCCACTATCTTCCCAGCAGAGTTCATGGATTCTGTTCCCTTCCAGTTCATTTCTCACATGCCTGTGACAGTATTTCTCCCAACTCTGAAGTTTTGTTCATTGGCTCTTTCTCAGTAGTCATGAGCCTAGGAAAAAGAAACATAACTTCTTCCTAACTCCACCCCCTGAGCATAGGAAAGAGGCCCTCTTACGTTTCTGTCAAATGAGTGAATGTCATTTGCTTAGGTGTGTGTGTGTGTGTGTGTACTGTGTGTGGTGTTTATGTGTGTCATGCATACACAAGAATATGCAAGTATGTGTGCCTGTGCATGCATATATCTTGTTCTCAAACTTATTGCCTTTCACTAAGGTTGGCTCAGTGGTTAAGAGCACTAGTTGCTCTTGCAGAGGACCCAGGTTCAGTTCCCAGTGCCCACATGGCAGCTAACAACCATCCATAACTCCAGTTCTAAGAGAATCTGATGCACTCTACTGACATCAGCGGGCATTGCACGATGTGGATGCACTTTCATACATGCACTCATACACATAAAAAAAAAACAAAAACTTATTGCCTTAAGATAGGGTCTCTCAGTGAACCAGAAGCTCCCCCCTTTTTTTTTTTTTTTTTGGCTAGGTTGTCTGGCCAGTGAGCTTTTGGGATTCCATGGTCTCTGTTCCCGTTCCCCAGTCTGATATCATAGTCTTGTCATTTTATATGGGTGCTGGGGATTCAAATTCAGGTTCCCATTCTTGTGGGACAAGCACTCTTACCCATGGAGCCAGCTCCCCAAACCCTTGAAGCATATCTCTGTGAGTTGGAAGCCAGTCTGCTCTACGAAGGGCATTAATACATAGTGAGACTCTTGTCTCAGCAAACAGAGGATGAGAGGTTCTTTCTATTACTTTATTAGTGTGTTTCTAATTCTAGTTTACAAATTATAGATGCAGTAAAGAACATCCTTTCATAAATACTCTGAAACTTGGAATACTGGTCTATATAATCTGGTTGTTTTTTAAAGAGTTGTTTACTTAGAGATAGGGTAGGCAGTCATAGAGAAGAAAGAAAGGAAAGAAAAAAAGGTTCTGTGTCAGGACTTGTTCTTTTCCCAGCCAAGCACAACATCGGCACCTTGTGTTGGAGGGAAAGTCTCACATAAGGCTCTGGAACTCTTAGCACTAGTGATGTAAACTCTTCCTCTCATTTTAAAAATGTTTTTATGAATGTTTAAAATTTTATGTATAAGTACTTTGCCTGAACATGCTAAGTGCACCATGTGTATGTAATGCCCATGGAGGCCAGAAGAGGGTGTTGGATCCCCTGAAACTGGAGTTATGAATGGTTGTTAGCCACCATGTGAGTGCTGGGACTGGAACCCTGGTCCTCTGGAAGAACAAACAGTGCTCTCAACTGCTGAGCCATCTCTCCAGCCCCAAAAATAGATCTTAAAAAAAGAAAAGAGAAGATCTAAGAAGTATGTATGGTTCATATACTGTGATGCCCCTTAGCTTTGTGTGTGTGTGTGTGTGTGAGAGAGAGAGAGAGAGAGAAAGAGAGAGA